TGGTTGGAACCAGTACCTTGACCATAACCTTATCAACCATATTCATCTACCAGGACCTGTCAACAGGTCACCACCTGCGACTTGGAAAAGTCTACAAAAGCCTCCATTTCGGAGACCTGTTGGAAGGTGCTAGTAACTAGTATATGAATTATATGTTCCAAAAAAGCAGTCACTGGCAAACCCCACCATGCCAAGTGGGCGCCATGAATATGGGCCCAACTCCGTGTTGATCCTCTCTGTCTTCTCACCATCCAACTGGAAACCATTCCCAGTTCCGCCAGCTCCGCGGTCCCACTACCGTTTCTGCGCGAGATCGGTCTGTGGAGGCCGCACCATCCTTGCCATAGTGGGACCTCGCTCGCGACGTGCGTTGCGTGCGTATGGGTCCGACCGGGACTGGGGTGCTGCGGGCGCCCATCCACAGCCATGCACATTGAAGGGGTCCACGGTCCACCGCATAAGTAAAAGACAGACACATACAGGGAGTCTTTAAGTCTTTTCCAATACTCCACCCTGTCTTTTCCACCTCGAAACCACACCAGGTCTTCTCCACTCGGTAACCTTCCCCCACGGTCCCAAGCACACCTCGGAGCTCCACCGCGTTCCGTCGCCTTTCGCGATCTTGCGCGCGGGACGTGGCGTTCGCGCTTCAGCCAGCTGTCTCCCTGGCTGCGTTCCCCGGCGGGTCGTTGAGTCCTCGCTCTTTGGCCTTGGTCTCCAACGCCTTCCCAGCCTCGCCGGACGGACGGAGAGCGAAGGGTCCAGCGAAGCGAGACGGTGTCGGGTGGTTTCGGTGGTCCAGTCCCCTGGTGGTTTGGGTGTGGCGGTTTGGGTTCGCGTGGCGTGGCGTTGGTTTGGATGGGCGCACAGGCCCGCGGTGTTGGACCAGATGGCTGTGAAGCATTAAGAAAGATACATGCGTCCGCTGTGCTGAAATCTATTAGATGTGCTTCAAGCCATGGTGCAAGAGCCTTGTCTTCGAGGAGGATGGCCCAAAAGGTGTGATTTGGAGACCCCCAAAAAAAATGTTCTGTTAACGATCAGAATTCTTCGCACCCAGGTGGGTTGTAGACTCATTCAGACTCTTCCACTCTTCGACTATAGACGTAGCACCCTTCTCTTCGGCATGGTTGGGATGGAGATCAGTGGCGTGGTGCTGGATCTTCATATGGTCACCTCAGATGGTTTTTGAGCGCTTGGCATGCAGCCATGCTTCAAGTACCTTCCATCCATGCATCCGCTCTGCTAGCCCCAAGGATCGGTAGACCACCACCATGGTTCGGCAGACCAAAACCAACACCACCAGAAGCATAAGAAAGACGATGAACAAGAACCCCCCCCGCCGGCCCGGAAGACTCTTGCATCAGTGCCAACAACCGGGGCGTGGGTGCCTCCTCTTGGAGCTCTGCCTCAAGCTCACCTGCTGCGGTGCGACCGGAGTTCCCTCGGACCCACTTCGCGGGACCGGGGGGACCGGAGACGACTCCAATGCCCCGGTCCAGAGCATCGCGGAAGCGCGCTGGCTTCGCAGCAGAAGCGTCCGGAAGGAGGGTTCGGGGTGGCACGCTCCGTTGTGGTTGGCACGCTGGTTTTCGTCCATGGCACCTCTTCCCAGGTTGACCTCCCATTGTTCGGTGGTCTGGCCCAGGGCGCCCGGGTGCCATGGCCCACATGTCTAGCCATATATGTCTGACCGCATGTCTGACCGCCTGGTGATCAATAGCTGTGACCCAAACTTAGACCATCTGGAGGTCAGATGTGGCTTGCCACGGCCGAAACACTTGAGGTCTGCGACTGTGAGACTGTCCAAGATGCATCAAGCCACTTGACATCCTACAGAACCCGGTGCCCACCCAAATGCCTCGTTTTAGCCGGCAGAGTGTGATCCTGAAATACATTGCCTTGACAAATTCTGCAAACTCTGTTTCCTGAGGAAGTTGCAGCGAATAGGACCAACAGTGGGTAGTAGGTGTGTTCCTTCTTTGAGTGAAACAAAGGGTCATTTACCAGCACCACGGAAAAGGCATAGTCAGGGATGTCGATCAACCACTCCAACTCCCTAGTGCTGGTACTTGGACACTTCCGTCCAACGCCTGGTGCACCTTAGAACATCTTAGAAACCACCCAACCTCCGCCTCCTCCGCTGGCCCTACTCCTCCGCTGTCCACATCCACTGAGCGCCGACCGGTGAGGGGGAACTGCTCGGACAAGGCCACGTCCAGCGCCGCCAAGGCCTGCAGCGGTGGGGTGGAACACCCCCGGCCGCGGGGTGTGTTTGCACCGCGTGGCGTGGGCGGGCTACACGGGTGTTCGGAGCCTCCGAGAGGGGAAGCTGCACCAGTGAGAGGGGCGGAGTCTGAACCCTTCCACTTCGTGTAGTGGGGGTTACAAAAAGGGTGAACCTGGTTGCAGAGTGACAAAAGTGACAAAAAGGTTGCTCTTCCAAATCCATGCCATCCACTTCCATGCGGTGCTGGACGTCAGCAAGTTGGGCAGGAAATACTCCCGCAGAGATCGAATCCACGGGTATGTGGAGACGTGACTGGTTCCGAACGACTCCAATTTGACTGCTTTGTGCCTCGAGGGTTCTTGAGACACTTGACCGATGCTGGCAAATGTGTTGGGCAAGGGAAGTGGTAGAAAGTCAGGACGCATCATGACATATCCAGAATATGCTGGAGACTTTAATGCGGATTGTCAGAAAAGGCCTGGATGCCAAAGGACTCTTGGAGAGTCTCTTTGACCAGTAAAAAATCATCGGGAGATCCTCCTCGACATCACAGACTCCTGAAACACTCTATTCAAAAATCTCTGCCTATACCGGAGATGTTCACACAGTTCACTCTGAAATGTCCGCACCTCTCACCCATTCTTCACCACCTCTCACCTTGTTGGGTGCGCAAGAAGCACACCTGATCTACACCCAGCGGACCCACCCAACGACTCGAAGCGCCGCGCCGACGCCACGCCCGCGCCTCCAGGAAGTTCTCCGCCTCGCAGCTCTTCAGGCCCTTCACCGCCCGTAGCACCTCGAGACTGCTCCCGCGTCGGAGAGCTCGGTGCAGAGAGGCCACGGTCGAAGGGTAAGGGTGTGACACCGCCATAAGTCGATCCGACCCAGGCCACTGGTCAGAAGTCACGAAAATACGCAACGCCTCTCTCGCGCCCCCCCCCGGGTGACGATGGATGCCGCACCCCGGTGGTTACGGTGGAATCTCCACCGCCCTTCGCCCTTCACCAAGACCAGAAGGATCGGAAGAGAGCGACGGAGTGGAAGCACCTCGGGGTCTCCTGCTTCGGGTGGTTCCCCCGTGCCACGCAACACGGCACAACGCTTGACGTCCCGCACCCCACACGCGTCTGCCAACACCCAACAAAACCAGAACACGTTCGTCAAAACGTAGCTCTATCAGGTACCGACTTGTGAAAGCTCAGATTGCAGTGATTGCATCAACTAGAACTTGGAACCCATTGGACCTTTCTTTTGATAATAAAAAACATGTGTGGGCTCCAAAACAGGGATCAATCAGGTTCTAAATATACCATTATATATATATATATGATGTACACTTGATGGCAATCAGCAGCTGCTGCATGATACAGCACGCACCATCGAAGAATAACAAGGTAGTTACACTGTTACAATTATAAGGGATCTGTTTGTGTGGAATTCCTCGCGGAATGGCCGCTGGATGGTGCTCATGCTGGTTGTGCGAGGTTCTCCCCTTTAAGTATCTTCAGAAAGACCATGTAGGAGAAGAACAGAGGTAAGAATTAGTCACCATTTCATGCATGTATGGGGTCAGCTACCTTCAACTACTGACGCAAAAACAACGAAAACAATCCCCACAGATCGGTTGATCTCGAAACTAATTTCATGAGACCAATTTCAACAAAAGGCTGTTTGCGGTGGAAAAAAAAGGACCCTGAATGAAGATTGACCCGTGGTCTTTTAGAGCATGTTCTGCTACAACCCAGTGGTTTCTGAAGCCCATGTTCATTTCCAGGAGGGTCACTGTGCCCGCAGACTACACCTAGAGGCAATTCATCCACCAAGAATGATTTGACCTGCCATGGATTTGGAGTTTGACACTGGCGATTGATCCACATGTCTGAGATATTTCGCTTCGCCCCCTCCAACAGTCAATTCCGAAGCTTCATGAAAGCGGCCCCCTCTGATCGGAACGTGCTGCGGTTCGGTCCCGCGACCGCAGCGGTTTTGACTCGGGACCGGCCAAGTGCTCGGAGAACGCGGAGAGTTCGACGTGAGCAACACCCGGTTCCCTCGTAACAACCGCACACCAGCCGCAACCACTGGGTCCAAGTGGTTTGGGTGGGGGAAAATGATGATGACTTAACCAGCGGTCTGATCAAAGTGGTCTGCCTGCTTCCGAACGAAGTGCGAAAAAAACACAAAGAAGAATTAAGAAAACAGTTTCGAACCAGTGGGCGGGTAGGTTTGAACCGTGGGATGAGATGATCCAGGGCATCCAATGATACCTAAGTCATCAGGGCAGTCAGTGGTGTAAAATGTCTTTTTGAGTAGATGTGCCAATTGACAGGTGGGCATCTGATTACATATATGGGTAATGGACATCCCTTAACCTCTAAGGGAATATTAAGAGGTTGGTATGTACATATCATGGGGGCATGACCAACATATACCTAGTGTGACCAACACATCTACTTGTACACCTGCGTTGTTTTGTTGCATCGGTCCGCTACATGGTATCACTCCTTCACATGGTTCTGATACACCCAACATCCGCTAGGCTTCGAATCAGGCGCCGCTCACGCGAGCTCAGCTGGCCACCACTGAGAATGTCCCGGGCCCCGTTGAGCTGGGATTGGACCAGAAGTCTGAGCGTGACTCCGCACAGGGCTGGCAATGTATACGAGTTCGTCGCGTCCTTCTTGCTTCAGGGGAGTCTGAGAACTAAGCCTCAACAAAATCCTAGTTGAGCCATGACCTTTGAACAACAAATCTTGAGGCATATTTGGCTTCACACAATGGACTGACTCGGAGTCGACATTCCACAGCCCTTCATTATCTCACCCCCGAAACAGTGTCTCGAACGGGTGACGAGACGCTGAAAAGGGAGAGAACATGCTGGGCGGGGGAGTCTTCCCTTCAGGAAGGACCCCGGCCCCGGCGAGAAACAGCCGGAAAACGGCCAGCTTGAAGCTCCTCTGCAGAAAGCAGCTTGCTCGCAGCAGCTTGCAGCAGCCGCACGCTGACGGAGTTGTCACCGTCGCTCGCGCTCAGAGCGGGTGGAAGCCCAAGGTGATGCCACGACAGTGGAGTTGCTCCAAGTCCGGAAGATCCTCGGCGCAACGATGCGGCGCGAAGATACAAGCTCCGCGAACGCGAACCTTTGGGATCCTTTGCGAGCTCGGTTCGGGTTCAGAGAAGGGCTCAACAGCCAGGAAGGACTCCAGGAGCTTGGAATTTCTGCAGGTTCCGCATGGAAAAGGGAAGCAGGAGTTCATGCAGCTTGTGCAAGCTCTTGCCACACCAAGAAGGCTTGCTGGTGGGTCTGCTTTTCATCATTTTGATGTCATTGGGGTGAAAGAAGATGGTCGGGCCGAACCAATCGAAACGTGTTTCTTTCTTCGCCTTCCGTTTTGGCCAAACAAAGAAACGGCGGCGTGGGAGTGCGGCAGGCGCGGGAGTGCGGCTCCGGAGCAGCCCAAAACAGCGTCTTTTTGGGGAGAAAAGAAGAACTAGAAACGCAAAGACGTCACAATCAGAAATCAAAATAAAACAAAAAAAACAAGCGGGACTTCCTACATCTTGGCTCTTTGTGGATGGGGTCCCAGACTCTTCGGGTATTTTCTCTACCCCACCCACATCGAGCTTGTCGAATTCCATCGACCTCCATGCAAAGCACCGGTGATCGAAGTGAGCGGTGTTCGGCCGCACGGCCAATAGGGGAAAGCACACCACGATTCAACTGAGTGCTTTCAAACCAAGGCAAAGGAACCCTCCACTTCATGTGATGTTCCCGTCCTGAGGTGTTTGAGCTTGGAAACTTCGACCACATCGTGTGCAAACGACATAGAGCGAGAAGACACCAGAGTGCGAGGAACTCTCAAGCACCCAAACCCACCGTGTTTGCCAATGTAGGGTTTTAGCGAAACCTTCTTCAAACACACCAACCAGAAGTTCCACTGAGAACCCCAAAAAGCCAAGGTTGTCACACATGAGAATCCAATAGATCGAAAGCATGTTCGATACATCCGACCCTGGGGCGGCATTCATTTCCTCTTCTCCATCCGACCCTTGGCATTATGTCTTGGAAACATGTCCACTAAGTATCATGAATCCAAAAACCAAGCTCGTTCGACATCGTTGGGTGACATATGAAACATCCACCCCGGACCAACGTTCTATGAGCCGGTCACCCGGAACCCGGAGCGTCCCCCAGCCGTCTCCCTTGGAGTCCAGGCGTTGGAATCCAGGTTGGGCCACATGAGGCCCAACAGCGTCAAGCAACGCAGGCCTTGGGTCAGGTTTTCCACGGTGAGGAGCTTAAAAAGGTTTAGTGTTTCTCAAAGGAAATCGGTCCTCTGTTCAGGTTCCATACTCTATGATTCCTATGATTCTAGTCGATTCAGGACGCCACCAAGTCCAACTATGACAGTTCAAAGTCCGTGGCCATGTTGCACACATTGTGAAATTCAATTCAAAAATGTTCGATGGCTGAACTAGCCATTGGTGGCGAATCAAAGGCATATCAGGCTTGCGCGCATCCAACAACCCATACACACAAATCGGCAGGTAGAATGGACAGTTAACCGAATTGTGATGCCAAATTCTGGTGTCGTCTGCCCATGAACTGTGCACAAGTTTACTTTGATTCCTGGTCGGAATGAAATTCATAAGCACGCATATCATATAATATGTATATATACTGCGTCCATGTGTGTATATACCGAGGAACAATTAATAATAATGAAGTGGTTGTTCAATGTATGCAGTTCAATGTTGGGTTGGTCTGCCTCATCGCTCCAAAGCGAAATAGCCCCAAGCACAACACATCAAGAATCTTAGTTTGCTGGTGGATACGGTGCTCTAGTGTCGGTCTCCCAAACTGCATAAGGCCAAAAATACACTCAAGATGGTTCGCTGCATCAAATGCCTGAACCCCGGCCAGGAATTCCCAGAGTTACTGCAAATGCTTCACAACAGAACGTTTCTTGATCTCCTCGGATTGGTGAAGTTCAATTAAAAGCTTTCTTAGTCTCCTCCCGCTGCGCTCAGAAATTGAACCTCTGGATGACCGTTTCCGCCGCATTCGTCCGAAAGTCTCCGAGGGAAAGAGACCTTCTCCAAGCTTTGGGCAAAGGATTCCCCCAACCTCAGCACATTACCAGCGCTCATGACAGGCAACATCTCCTAGAAATGCAATCTTAGCACCGTGGCGTGGTGCCCAAAGAGGCCGCCAGGCCTGTATCCGCTGCCAGCTTCCGCGTGTGCTCCAGCTGTTCAACTTGGACCCGCACCCCGTCACAACTGCGAACTTTCAAGCGCCGAGCCTGCCCAGAACGCTACCAACATTCCTTTGGAGCTCCTGTACATGCTACTCGGCACTGGGCACTCGTGTATTCCACGCTGCCGAACTTTGAATGACCCGGCTGACACACAAGGCTGAGGGCTGCATGTAGCCTTACTAGCAACCTTTTCAGCAAGCACTCTTTTAGAACGGAACATAATAGCCTAATAGCTGCTTTCCATGGACAGGATCTTCTACTGGCAGGGTTGCAACAAAACCTACTTAGCCCAAACGGGGGTGGACGTGGCCGTAGAACGTTGTCGTTCAGGTATTGACTTGAATCTCCAAGAAGCGTCAAACAGTAGCTGCAAAGTCGAGTCTCTAGATCATTGAGCTATAAACTTTTTGAATCTGGCACCCTCTACAGATTCTCCTGTAGACGGAAAGCATGCCACCTGCCATGATCTACCTACCTCTTGTCTTCTGTAGCCCTGCCAACGCAAGAAACACACTCGCTCTCTCTCTCTCTCTCTCTTTCTCTCCTCTCCCTCCCTCCTCTCCAAGACAGAATCGGCTTGCTCTCTACACACAGAAGCCGGTACAACTGACCGAAAAAAACCTAGTGCCTTGAGCCTTATGAAGAGCGCTTTTGCGAAACGACCATGACCAAAAACTGCTCAAAAAAACGAAGGCAACGAAACAACCAACACTCTTTGGCGTCCAACAAAACAGCCCTGAAGAGTCTTGAGTTCTTCCAAGTGAAACGCTTACTGTAGAATTTTGTAGAATTTTGGACCACAGCATCCTCACACCACCTCTGCGTAGAAAGAAGGCCACACAGGGACCCAAGCGACCCTTCAAGGGACCCCAAGCGACCCACCCATGTGACACAGTCAAGAATTCTTTTTTTTCCAAGAACTCTCATGAGGGTGGAGTTCGCCGCTTGTTTGGTCTTCCGAAAAGTGGGATCCGAACTTCGAAGCATGCGCACACCGGAGCCTCGAGTCCTCCCATGTCACGTTGGCTGAAACGCAAAGCCACATGTGTGTGTGTGTGTGTGTGAAACCCTTGGAGTCATTGGGATTCCGTTGAGTTTGTTGTTTTGCAGCAGGGGAGCGGTGGGCATTCTTGAAGTCACTGCTCAACGAAGACACTTCAAGTTTGCTGTGATATGCAATCTGGACGCAGATTGCACGTACCTACGAGAAGATGCTTACCATTCACTTCTTTCTGGGCCCCTGCTTTTAGCTAGAACAAGAACTCCAGCCATCGCATCCGTTTTGCACTCTGCAGTTGCGAGCGAACGTCGTCAACCTGTCGTGACCTTTCGCCTTTCGATCTTTCGATTTCATGAGCTGTGGATGATAATTTGATTGGGTTTGGATTTGACTACTTTTAGGTTGTTGTTTCCCTGGCCTCTTAGGAGTGTGGTTACCTAGGTTGCCGTGTGGCGAGTGGCTTTCAATTTCCGTACGCATGATCTTGAGTGTGTGAGAATAGGGGGACCCCCGATCGCCCCAATGGGTAGACTGGTCTATTTCCCGATGTTCATTGGTTCGCCCTATTTTGATACACGCCCACATGTACATCTCAATCAAGTTAAGTTACGCCGCATCAGCCCAAGTACCACTCAAACAAATAAAACTCGCCAAGTAGCGTGAGGCTCTGCAGTCCAGGAGGGAACTTCACTTTGTCCAGCTCTCCTTGGAGATTGCGCATTGAATCAGAATCAACTGACTCCTTGCATAGCCTCTATCCCAGGAATCACGCGTTGCCTTGGATTGTCGGACTAGACTCTCTACAAACACCATGATTGTCAGACCAACTCCGTCGTAGTCGAACGACCGTTTTCAGGGACAACAGCCTGAGCCGTTCCTTACGAAGAGGTGGAGTTTGGCCACTGTCACACCTTCGGGGAAGCAGCTCATTGGGAAGGAATAGCCGAATCGCCTCTTCCCAACTTTGGCAACAAGTCTCACTCTGAACCTTTGACTCCAAAGAGTTCCCCAAACAATTCCACAACTTGGCTTTTCAAAGCCCAAACAGCATCCATGCTTTCCATGGTTGCTCTCAGAGGGGAGCTACCACCTGCCAAGCAGAAGTGCCCCTTTCACTTCGTCGACCCCTTCTTGAGTGTTCCTCTGAGACCAGAGAAGCAAAACAAAAGAAAAAAAGAACGCAAACACACAGCCTCTGGCCCACACCCCACCCCTCTTTCTTCCTGCTCACCCCCCCATTTCTTCATGCCGATTCATGCCTTCGCCTGCCCCCCGCCCAAACAAAAACAAACTCTGTCATCGCCGAACCCACCGACCGCCCACCAGCGAGCTCATTCTTCGATTCCAAAGCGCGGTTGAAGCTAAAGCCCATCTTTAAGCTCTCCAGGTTCGCTGGCAGCTCCACTCCTGGGCGAACGCACGAACGAACTGTCTCTCCCCCACTCGGAGAACACGTCGTGGCGAGAAAGTGCCCGGTGGTGTCGGGTTTGGTCACCGGATGGCCCGGTGGGGACCGGAGATATTTCGAGGTGAGAAGAGCGCAGGTGCAGGTGGTGCGACCCGTTGGCGGGGGGATGCGTGGTGCCTTTCTTGGGGGGACAAAGCAAAAACTCAAGCACATAGGAGCAAATGAAGCAGGTGAGGCACGCTCCATCGGAGTAATGAATCTATTAATAGGTCCACTTGAGACACCTAGAGGCGCCCTTCCAAAAGAGTCTTTGTGGGGTGATGCCCGTTTTGAACGAAACGATGGTGGGATGCGGCTGTCGTGGTTGAGGAAACCCTATGATTCTGAAGGTGCCAGGACCACACATGACAGGTTGACAAGTTGGATTGAAAACAAAAAAACACTGGTACAACCGTTTTGGTTGAAAACCCCTTCAAATCGTTTGGCCTACATAAGTCTATTCCCTGTCTATGGCCCAAACTCGTCGGGATTAGCTGAACCAAACAGGATGTTCAATGTGCGGGGCGCTCCCCAAGCCCCCACTGAGGTCTCCTAGCAGAAAAGGCAAGCTCTTGCAAACCCCTACGACCAGAAGGAAATAGAGTTTGCGTCTTTGGCGGATCAACCGACTTATATAGCACAGGTGATTCCTCCCTGACCAGCCATTTAACGGGCCGATCAAACAAGTGAACCCGATCAAACCCCTTGCCCTTGATGACTCCAAGCCATGCAAAAAAACGCCAATACTAGCTGTGCTCACCAAGGCTCTGTCGAGCTTCTGATTAAAGTCACGCCCAAAGCTCAAGCGCTGCAAATTCCTCGGGTGCAACACGGGCAAGGGCTGCGGGCGTGGGCTGCGCTGTTCGGTGTCGGCCATGGTCCGAAAATCCCGGGACTGGTGTGGATGTGACATGATGACTGAGGTCATCATGACCAACCAACAGAAAGCGTCATGGACTCAATCTGTTTTTTGGACTGGTGCTGTGTGTGTTGTGTGTGTTGTGTGTGTGTGTGTGCGCACGTGGGGTGTGTGTGTGTGTGTGTGTGTGCATGTGGTGGGTGTGTGTGGCAATTCTGGAGGGTCCACCTAATGGGTCGACCTCCTTTTGATGAGTCTTTTGACCTGAAAACCCAGTTCCACCAATGTCCCAGAAATCCATGGGTTGGGCACCAGGTCATGCTGCATGCATTGGGCGACCCTGCTTGACCACGGAAAATGAACAGAATACAACAGAATGGATTACTGAGGTGGTCAACCTACCAGGGATTAGGGCTCGAACTCGCGGGCGAACGCTGTCTACACACCCCTCACAAGAGCAAGGATTAGGGCTTCGGGTTTTGACCTACTGCCATATGGCAATTGAGATCCTGTATACCAGTACATAGCACGTGTTTGTTTGGGGAAACATCCACGTGTTTTTGCAGGTATTGCTTTGTTGTTTGGGTGTCCAGGTATTTCTTGTGGGTCAAATGGACATGGCCTTGCACGAGACAAGCCCATAAGTCATCAGATTGAATTTCCCTACCGACCGATGACCCATGCCCGTCCTTCTCGGCATAGAGAGGGCCACACAATCTTCTGGTTCGTGCACGCCGGCCCACGCGTGTCGAGAGAACGAAGAGTACTTGTCCGAAAGGATTCTCTTTCAGTTGGAGTGGTATTCAAATCTATCTCACCAAAGGAACGGAAAAAGAAATGGAGGCAGAACGGGTAAAGAAAGGAAATGCTTCGTTCCAGTCATGAAACCTCGGCTACGGCAAGAGAGATCCATTCATTCTCCTCTTGTACCCACTTTCGCCTTCATGAATCAACATCTCCCACTGCGCCACGCCCCATGCCACACTCAGCCCGTTCCCCTGGTGCTTCTTCTTCCCCCACCCTTCGCGGCCGCCGGAAGCTGCCAAGCCGCGCCGGAAGCTTCGTGCCCTCCAGGTTCCGGTTGAAGTTCACCCCAAAGCACCTGATCGTCCGCCGCGACCCGCGAGCGACCACCGCGACCGAGGCAGTCCCCACCAAGGCGGTCGCCATCCGCAGCGCAGGTACCGGTGGGTCTTCGGTGCGCTCAGCGGTGGAAGGTTTAGACCGGTCGGTGGGTCTGCAGTGGAAGAAGCCTCCGAAACAGATGGTATGTTCTTCAGCGACATATGAGCAAGCCAAGTCAGCCAGGTGGCCATGGACTTGTTCAGCCTTTGGATGGTATCCCAGTTTTGAGCCCAAAGCTCAATTATACATTACATGATTGTATAGAGTAATTGGAAAAAGCATGTCTTCCATACGTGGCCATGGCCACATGTCTTCCTCTCGTGTCCTCCTGTGTCTCCCTCCCCGTTCCTCCCCACACCGGGCGTCTCGCCGTCTCCTCGTCCCCGGTTCCGAGGCACATCTCCTCGAGGCCCGAGGGCAACGCCGTGTGCTCCAAGGATCGGTTGAAGCCGTGGCCGAAGCACAGCTTCCGCAACGAGGCCTCGGAACGGGAGCCGCCGGGCGGCACGCCGACAAAGCGGGCGGCGCGCCGGTGTGGAGGCGCGCGCGCGGGAGGTCTGTTGGTCTTCGTCTTTTGGGCGGGGTTCGGATCGGAGGGAGCCATTTGGAGCATGTAGCCCGGGAGGTTGGATCACAAGTCACAGAAGGACAGGCTGGTCAGGCCCCAGAGAGCCATTTGGTGATCCTTACTACCAAGACTAGCATGTTCAAAATTGATGTCCAGATTCCATTTAGCCACATAAGGACAGGTTCTGATAGGTGCTCATTTGGATAATTCTGGTCGCACGGCCAAAAGCCAATGAAAGGCAAAACGGTTGTGCGGCGCAGCGGAGCCATTGGGGCCAGGGTGCTTGGGGAGGGGCGGTTGGGTGGGCCTCATGGATTTTTGTTGGAAGAACAAAGGAGGACAAAAGGTCCGATATCACCTGAAGCTCATCTACCTAGTGACCTTCGTTCTACTTCTTCTGTGTCTTAGGGGGGGCCTTTAGGCTTCAGACTCGATGACCTTTAGGCTTCAGTTTGCTGGCCGAGGCGAGATGTTTACACAGACCTTACGGGGCTCCGTTGGTTTGGATCATCTCTGGTATGTGAGACTCCTCAGGTGCAGGGATTCTCTGAAGGGAATTTCTCAGCAAGTTCCTCCGCTGTGAGTGAGTGATGTCTGGAAAGAAAGTAGTGTAAGTAGTGGATCTCATGCGCAGCTTCGTAGCTTCCTGGATTCCTATTACTTACTCCCCTGCAGATTGACATGGAACCCAAAAAAACCTGGGTTGTAGAGGAAAGTGGTCTTCCACACGTCCATTCTCCAGGTCCATGTTAGTCTGCCGGGGAATATGTGGTTATACATATGTTAATATATTTACACATATATATTATAAATAATTTGTTTGTTTGTTCTCTCTCTCTCTCTCCCAGACATGATCTGTTGGAAGCAAAACCAAACCCTCTGTCATCACTCTTGGCAAAGGCCGCCCCCGCCCACATCGAGTTCGATACCCATGAGGGACAAAATTCCTCCAGGTTGTTGAACTTGTGTCTGGATGATTGAGAGCAAAGCTGGGAGAATCTCGTTTGATCCCAGCCGACAAACAAACAAACAAAGCCTCATTCCCCGATATCTAGTGAACATATTTTGTTGGTCACCTATCTTCATAACTCCAACCTGCCCTTTTCGTCAAGTCCCTTGGGACACGATTTCGGCCGGGACACCGGGAGGTTCACTTTGTCCAAGCTCTGCTGGAAGTAAACGCCAAAGGTCCTCAGCGTCACCGGTGCCGTTGCGCGCTCCGCACCGACCCCCCGTACCGCGCGGGTCGTCGCGTTTGGCCCGGGGCTGCCGGTGGCAGCAGGAGCCGGCCACGTTTTCTGGTGGGCCACCAAGTCACTGGGCCTCTTCCCCCCAAACCAAGCCCAGTGGGCTGCGCTGGAAAAATGCGGTGCCGCCAAGATTCAACTCCTGCAGATTCTTGGGCAAGGTCAGATTGTCCAACACTTGGTTGAAGTTCCTCAGCTTATGGAATCTGAACAAAGGGAGAAGGATCACTCATAGGCCCCATGTTGCCCCACCATCCTAAGTGATTTGCACAAGGCAAATCTCAGCGAGAACCTTATACTCACTCTATTCAAGCACCCCAATCCCCTGAAGCCGACCAACTGTTTTGAAAAGGCACCCCTTCTTTCTTCTTGGAGGGTCTCCCAGCCTGTCATGAACTCACAACCCAAGAAACCTTCAACACCCCGCTTTCCCACGCTCACTTCGGAGCCTCAACATACCGCTGGCACCCGCGATGCTGCTCCCAAGCGTCTCGCCGAAGGTCAGGAACTCGATGCTGTCGGGTAGTTTGACCCCGTCCATCCTGATCCACCCGACGCAGCGTCCCGAAGGTCAGCACCCGTACAGACCGGGAAGGTAAGGACCTCCAAGGTACGAGGCCGACGACCAGGTGGTGCAGGGGTTTGGTTCTGAGATTGGCCAATCTACAGGTGAGGGTTTTCTTGAATTTCAAAGGAGCTGGGGCTTCTGGTCTGGTTGTCACATCCCAAGTCTGGCTGATGGGGACTCCAACAAGCCAAAAGCAACCAATTCACCGAAACAGTGAAAGTAGCCCTAAAGGTGTTTCATCTTTTGTCAAACTTTTCGGGGCCCAGGAACAAGTTGTCCTCAAAAGGAGGGACTCAAACATCCCGCCGGGCTCGTTTCTGCGCGTGCGGTTGAGGACATTTGTCAAATCTTCACGTGGTCAATGATGACGAATGTCCGGTGTGTGACTGCGTTTTGCATTGATGTGAAAGGTTTGTTGCAGCATGTAGTACATGAAAGCGACTCAAATATCGTTGCGATTTTGACATCGAAATGCTACGAGACTGTGGTTTCGTGCCAAAAAAAAGGCGCGCAAATTCATCCTCCAGCATCATCATCACAGTCTGTGGGACAACTTCTGACCCAGCTTCGTCAGAAGATCGTCTTTATTCTGGTGCCAGCGCCATTGCCACTGTCGAGTGAACTTCATGATGTTTGGGCATATACCGTCACCTTCACGTGAACGCAAGCTAGTGGGGACCGACCCCTTATACAAACGCCACATACCATCAATGGCACCGGTGTGGATGAGCAGCTCTCCTGAACTCAAGCATCTGACAATCCCCCGAACGGAAAAAACTTCGGAATAACCAAGCCAAGTTTCCATGCGTCGACGTCTGTCTGTGTGTGTGCCCCTTGAAGTCACAGGGATCCTTTTGGAATGTAATGCCTGACTTTCTTACTACTGTTGATAGCAGGGGAGCGGTGGGCATTCTTGAAGTCACCGCTCAACGAAGACACTTCAAGCTTGCTGTGATATGGAATCTGGACGCAGATGGCACGCACCTGCGAGAAGATGATCACCACTCATTTCCCTTTGGGCCCCTTTGTAACTAGAACAAGAATTAACAAGAATTCCAGCCTGCGTGTGCGTGTGTGGCTTCCTAATAACAATGCACACAACATGAACATCACTAGCCCCCCACCCAACCCCCCCTCCCCCCTAACCCCCCCGTGTCCCCATCTTCCATATTCCAATGCGTGTGTTTGTGTGTGTGTGTCAACCCCTGTTCCGAAGGGTGCTTCTCGGTTTTACATCTCATAAGCAGGGGACACCACTGGCATTTCCCGTCCAACGAAGAGGATGCCAGTAGGTGCTGATGCAGTGGGGGACGCCCCACTGTGTACCTGTTCCATGAACTGTTGCTTAAGCTGTCCAATCTTTCCTTTTTGTTTCCATGGTGGTTCATGCTACTTCCCCTAAACCCTTTCCTTTGCCGCTCGCGCGCGCTGCTGTCGCACCACTGCAGATGAGAAACACTTCAGTGTTAAAACACCTTCAAGTCTTTGGACCTTTCACCATGCCGTTCCTTCACCTTCCTTCTCAACGTGGGAATTGAGTTAACTGCAAACCAATGTCAAAGTGTGAGCCGCTCAGCCGTCCCACTTGGGTGCTGGGTGTGATCCTCCGCAAGGAGGCGCTGTCATCATTCCGGAAATCGTTTAACAGCTTTTCGGTTCCACCTTTCGTTGGATTATCTTAACGGATTCTTTTACAAGCACTGGATCTACTGCCTTTCGAGCCGCCGGGCTATAAACGATGGAACCCTTTCAGACTCTTCTGTAACCTAAAACAGCCGCCGGGCTTAAAAAACGGATTTGACAGCCGCCGGGCTTAAAAACGGAATTCACCCCACTTCAGGCAGGTCTCCCTACCCCCCCCCCACCGTGTTCTACTCCCTACCTAATTAGGGTAACACAGGGAAATGGTACTCGACACACTTGTGTGTCGGTGCCTTTCCCTCTGTTGTCCCTTTTCTAGTCTACTCTACCCGGGCGGTTTAAGACTAAAGTCCCGCTCCCTAACTATTGCACTGTAATTCGTCTCGGCTAAGTAGTCAGTAATCCTAGAGTGCTAAGTATTCAGACACACACACGTACACACACATGGACATACACCCCCTCCCTGCCCCCCTTTTCTTTCTTGCGCTTTCCGTCGTTTGTTGGGCTTTCTCTCAGGCTTTTTAGGTTGCTCTTGAGGCTCGTTTCCCTACCCCAGTCAAGGGCTAAGTATTCATTTTCTTTTTTCTACACCTATCGTTCTCTCTTGCCCTCTTAGCGCTGCTCTTTCTGTGTTTCTTCCTTTTGTTTCTAAGGCTTTTTAGGTATCTCTTCAGGCTTTCCACGCGAGCGCCGCCAAGCGGCACCGTGTGTGTGTCAACCCCTGTTCCGAAGGGTGCTTCTCGGTTTTCCATCTCATAAGCAGGGGGGACGGGACACCACTGGCATTTCCCGTCCAACGAAGAGGATGCCAGTAGGTGCTGATGCAGTGGGGGACGCCCCACTGTGTACCTGTTCCATGAACTGTTGCTTAAGCTGTCCAATCTTTCCTTTTTGTTTCCATGGTGGTTCATGCTACTTCCCCTAAACCCTTTCCTTTGCCGCTCGCGCGCGTGCTGCTGTCGCACCACTGCAGATGAGAAACACTTCAATGTTAAAACACCTTCAAGTCTTTGGACCTTTCACCATGCCGTTCCTTCACCTTCCTTCTCAACGTGGGAATTGAGTTAACTGCAAACCAATGTCAAAGTGTTCTTGCCCCCCGAAAGGACTGTATGAAAAATCAGTTTCACTACACGCGCGGTTTTAAGCCCATTAGCTCAAACATGTTCGACGGTTTGCTGTCACTTGGAGGGGGCATGTTTTGGACCCTCTATGACCTATGACTCGAATCACCCGTGGCTAAACCATGGAGCGAATAACTACAGAACAAACTGACCCTCCTGGTCTTTTCTGAAGGCACGATCAAAGGGGGAAAAGCTCGTGCTCCGCAAATCATACGAAGGGCGATGGTAAGTGATCCGAACCAAATGACTCGACAGCAGGACGTTCGTCTGATGTGACTCAGCTCGCAAAACAGGGACTCTTCGAGTCATTCGTTCGTCATGGCTCAGGTTGCCGAAGTACGGTCTTCATTCGGGAGGATGGGTTCCTGGTCCAATGACTAGTGCGTCCCCGATCACCCGTCTCAAAAGCTCTTCTGAGATGCCCACATCTCTAGCAAGTGGTGGTATTAGGTCTATTGAATATTATGTTTTGGCGTGTCAGACACGTAGAAGACCTATATATCCCAATATAGACCTGAAGAAGGAAGGGTCAAGTTGTGGTCCAGCAAGTGGCTGAAGAATCTTCTGAAACCGTTTTCTTGAAGTAAAGCTCACCTTCCCCGCTTTCTATCAGTCTTCATACCTCTTTGCCACGCAGGGGCTTCTGTCTTGGGCCCGAATTCATGCTCCATGTGACAGCTGATCGAAGTGCTCGCCAAAGACCAAGGTCTTCAAGTTGGGAGGGAGCTCCAGGTCAAAGGGCTGATTGAAGTAGGCACCAAAACTCAAGGTCCTCAGACTCGGCCGCCGGCCAACAAGGCCCGAACGAAGTTCGCCACGCGCAGAAACGCGATGAACACGCAAAACGATCCTTCGGAAGGCCTTTCGCGGAGGGTGCCGAAGGATCGTTTTCTGGGCGAGCGGAATCCAGCTCTGGAAATCTGGATGTTTGGAGGTGTGGTGGTGTGGTCTCGATCTCTCTTTATGACCGTCCGGTGCTTTGCCTGGGATCGCCCAAGATTCTTCGCAGAATGGGTTCTTGCAATCACAGAGGCATTTGAGAACAATCCCCTTGTGGCTGGAAACCTTCAAGATAAACCACTATACTTGCTACTGTTGTCCGACGTTACTCAGCGCACAAAACAGAAAGAAACAAACGAACGATCTGTGACTCTTCCCAACCAGACTTCTGGACATGTGTCAACCGGCTGCAACAACCCTGTAGTTCCTGCAGTTAATGGATATTCTTACAAACGACAAACGCACGCTTGGCGCCTACTCCGATTTGGCATCTTCTTTTGCGGCCTTGGGAAAGAAGCGGTTCGAAACTGAGCAACTTGGCTGTAGAGGTTCGCTGATAAAGCCTTTATGTGAATGTAGAGGAAGGGAGATGACTTCTTCTCATCCCTTCAATTGCTGCGTCTGGCTCGCTGGCAGTAGCCAATGCAGCCCTTGTCTGCCAAGTTCTTGGAGATGACTGGAGCCTCTTCATTTGCAACATTGTACCAACAAACGGCCTTTTGAGCTTTGCATGCCCCTGTGCAAGCCACCCACCCTTCACTCTTATGCGTATTGTACCACGCATTGAATTCGGTGTCGATCGGGTACTGCTTAATGTACTCTCCTGTCAATGGGAATCTGCCTTTGCGAGAGTACACCATATATCCACCTGCATGAGCCTTTTTGAAGTAAATACCTTCTGCCGCTCGCTTAGACTTGGCCAAAAGCTCTTTCGTGGAGAGTGGCTCTGCTGAAAACTCTGGCGTTGGCATATCATTCTGCGACTTGACCCTCAAACCATACAAAGCGTGACGGGGATGCCGAACAACTGGCTTCGAATCTGTATGGTCATCTGCAATCTCTGGAAAGCCGATGGACCTATCCCACTGTTGGTAGTCCGCCAAGAAATCCATCAAATCCTCTTTATGCACACCAATGTCCTCAACGATGAGATGCGCATCCTCCAATGACACCATGGTACTGGATCCGTTGTTGGGGAGTTCCAGCAAATCGATCCGCTCGGAGAGCTGCTGGAAGATATCTGCAAAGGTTCCATTGATCTGCTCGTGTATGTACACGGCGAGGCAGTGAATTGAAACTGATGCCTCGCCACTGGCAGTAGCAAATCCCTGGCCTTTGCCTTCAAATGGAAGCAGTTGATGCAGCATGCCAAGCCTCCTGGGCCACTTGTGAGCCTTCAACGCATGTTGCGGCCTCACAAGCCTTTGGATGCCACTCCAGCGACCAAGCATCGATGCTCTGCCAATTGCGCGGTCTGAGCCGAGATGCTGAGCCAAAACCGTTTCCTCCCTAAGCTTCTTCCGGCACCTAAAGCACGGCGAGCTCCGGAAAAACCTGCGTTTTGCTTGCGGGAGATGATTTGTTCACCACTCCAGTCAGACTTGCACACGGGATATCCCTTGAAAATCCTTCAATTGAGGGGCCGACCACTTGAGAACACTACAAGCTAGCAGCTATAGTATAGCAAGTCAAACTCCTTCAAGCTCCTTCATGGTTTGCTTTGATCCTTTTCTTGGGTGTTTCCGTCTTGTTAATTCCCTTCTTCTTGCTTTCTTCAGCATCTCCATTGGCACCTTTCAGTCCGAGTTTCTCCAAGGTCTGGGGCAAGACGATGCCCTCGAGGGATTGGTTGAACTTCAGGCCAAACTTCAAGGTCTTCAGGGTCGGAGGTAAGCTCACGTCCAGCTTCCTGGATTTTTGTCTTTTTCCGCGTTGGGGAGGGCTGGAAGGAGGATACTGTAATTATGTTGTTTTTTTGTTGGCTTTTTGGGACTCGTGGGGGATATATATGGAAAATGGCTTGCGAAGGGAAGGTTTCTCAGTACGGTTCAGTAAGTAAGTCCACGTGTATGGCCTACCAATGCCAGCCAACGAGCGCGTTCCAAGTCCCAAAATCAGTTGATCAATCAGTATAGTTCTGGTACAGGTGCACTGGGGTACACGGCGATTCTTGCACGTTCGATTTGCCCTGCTCGATGGAGCAGTCAAAATGAAGGTAAAAAAGATCCGGCGAGGGGTGCCAGTTCTCATTGATCAAAGCCAGATCTGTTAGCTGAACCAGGCCAATGATGTCTTGACTTCCTTTGGACGTGCATTGTATCGGGCCGGACGGCCAGATCATCCGTCTGCGGTTTTTGCCAGATCTGAAGGCCCCAGGAAACTAAAACCAACCAGACCCGAAAGGATTTGGATCAAGCGAACCCTTGGAGGCAGAGTCCATTGGACCCAGTGAACCCATCCGGCCCGGGAGACTTCCACCCGTTGGGCATCCAAAAACCACCCCATCCATCGGCCGCTTGGCTCGGTTCGCTTCGTCTCACCGATAAACGTGGGGACCTCTTCCCCGGGCCTTTGGGCGTTCGTCTCACGGAAAATTCTGCGCACCCACCGGACACTGGGGAGCCTTCACCTTGCACCCGAAGAAGTGGAAAGGTTCCAACCCATCCAAGGTTCCACATTCTCTCCGACTCATTCGCCTGCCCTTCCCGGTTGCTCCGGCCGACTCTGACCCCCTTCCCACCACCCGGAACATCCACCGAGCATCTGGTTGAAGTCGCGGCCGAAGACCAAGCGTTGGAGGCTCGGGAGGGCGCTCAAACTCTGCAGCGGTTTGTTGAAATCACGGCCTCGCCCCGAGCAGCTGGTCACTCACAAACAGCGCGAACCGTGCTAAAGCCGCGCGGTCGCTGTGCATTGAACAGGGGGGGGCAGGGGGGACCCTGCCCTGTATCTGCAGAGATGGAGGCACGTCACGTCTTGAAACCACTTGCAACCAGCAGGAGCATCCTCCATAAGCCCCTTCATGACATTGATCTGTAAGTCCCTGTAAGTCCGTTGTCCAATCTTCCTCTATGTCCAGGGTGTTGCAGTGACCAGGCCGCACCCCACGGACGCGTCCGTGTCAGTCTGGCATAGCCCCGAAGCTACCCAGCGACCCCCAGCGACGCCCAGCGACGCGTCGCGTCGTCCGTCCACACCGTGAATCCAAGGTGCCGAAGCTCAGGCTGATGAGCTTCTCCGGTAGCTTCACCTCAGCTGTTTTGATTCGCCCTCGGACCCCTTCACCGAGAAAGAGCCTTCAAACGGCCTCCAAAGGCAAGCCATGTCATACCCATGCCCATCCCCCCATACCTATGTGGCCATCCTCATACCCAAAAAGGCCAATGTGCCCCGCCATTTGACCCCCCAAAATCCTTCCGCGCGCGTCAAACGGATGACGGATCACGGACGTTTGGTTGCACGTGACAGAAAACGCCACGAGTTCACGTGGCTGCAACGCTCTGCCGGGCCGCGTTCTCGAAGCTCTGATTAAAGGCTCCACCGAAGGACAGGCTCTCCAAGCCTGACGCGAAAAGGAGAAAATCCTCCAAAAGCCAATGGTTGTTCTGAAACAATGCATTGGGAGTACATTGGGAGTAGATTGAGAAACTCGCGGTATTTTTTCACCCGGTGGCAATTGGTTTTTTTAATTCAAATCAATCAGGGAAATCACCCGTTACCTTTAATAATCATCACCTTCCCAAAAATAATACAGTAATGCTATCCAAAGAGAAACCATTCCACCTCCCAATTGGGACCCACAACCTCCCGTGCTGGGACCAAACGCGCGCGATGGAGGTCCACGCGGCCTTCGGGAAAGGTGACCTTCACGCCGCCCTTGGTCACAAAGTTCTGTTCCACCGTCAAGTTCCGCAAGCCCGACGGCCAAGCGGCCTGGCAAGAGCGACCCGCCAAAGCGGCGAGCCAGAAACCATAAAAAAGAAAGGACGTCCAAAAAAGGAGAGAACTGTTTTTTGGGTGGGGCGCCGAATGGTCAGCCAAAAACCGGAAGCTGAACAGGCTGCACCCTTGGATTTGTTTGCATCAGTTGTAAAATAACCTTCTCTTTGTTCAGGGAAACATGGAAGTGGAAGAGACCCAATTTGTTTTGGATGTCATCGGAACCATGCGGCAGAGAGAAGGGAACCGTGCCCGGCAGTCTCATTCTTTGAATGTCCAGGGTGTTCATGAACGTCCAGGGCTCTGGCACCCCCTGGCCAGTTTACTGGGTCACTTTCTTTGTGTCGTTTTCGTTGGTGAGTCGGCCACGTGCGGCGCGAGTCGACCCCACTTCCATGTCTTCCATATCAAGGCTCTGTGAGCATTGTAGGGGACAGCCTTGCAGCAGCATCACCCTTGGGCTGCGCAAATTAGGTCGTGCGTAAGCAGGTTCAGTTGTCTACAGCCTGCTTATCACAGGAAGGATCCAGCAACCTTGATTGGGCTTTCGAAGGGCTGGTTACAATCAGCGGAGTCATCTTCAAAGAGCTCTGGCCTTGCTCCACTCCTGCTTGTAGCCTTCCTCAGAGAAGAAATAGTGACTGGTCCGAGCAGCTAGCGGGCAAACACCAAAAGCAGTATGACATTGCAAGCACAAAAGAAATGAGCTGAGACATAGCTACATAGATTGATAAAACCGGCAAAAACAAAGATCAAAGAAGCATCACCTGAATCGGCAGGTTTGCATGCCTATATAATCCATGTAAAAAGCCCTCCGCAACGAGTTCGGACACTCTGACGTCCCCAGTTCTCTCCAGCCCACCCTCCCTGCCCCGCAGCCGGAGGCATCACCCGAAATCCAGCATGCAGCTTTGAAAAGCCAGGCATCCCCAAGGGAAAGAGACTCGAGAGAGCTTGGAAGCTGCAGCTTCAGCAGATTCTGATTGAAGCCATCTCCAAACTTCAGGCTTCGCAAGGTGCTAGCAAAGGTCATTCGACCTGGGCCGAGTGAAGTCAAGGACGATCGGTTCGTGAGTTGTTTTGGATCTTTTGGCCCAAAGAGGCATGGACTTTGTGTGAGGATGTAAACCTGTAGGTCTTGGTGAGCTTCCTTCCCTAGTGTCATGTCCATATTCAAAAGGATCTGTGAAAAACATTGAAAAGATTTGAAAAGCAAGGTATCTGGTACTTTTTGATCCTGGGTGGTTGAAGGGGCAGCCCTCCCACAGGACAGGGAGGTGTTGGCTTCAGAGGTTTCTGCTGCTCAAATGTCCCTGGGTGATTCACATCAAGCTCCAGTGTGAGCTTTCGGGGCCCAAAGTGGGGAGCTTCTCAGGTTTTTTCATCCATGGGTGGTGTCTCCGCAACCCCACGCCGGTCGGTTCAGTCTGACTCTTCCCTTTTCATCCGGCGCTAAGGTCGCCTCCCCTCAGCCGCCGAAGCCGATCCCGTCAAGCGGCTCAAATCCTCTGTGTAGGACCGTCCAAACCTGGGCTCGTTCGGCTCAGTGGAGAGGAGTGGAGTGGATGTTGTCCCAAAACAGACCATCCCACCGGAACCGTTGATGGCCCGCGCGATGGTTTCCCGCGCATACTAGATGCGCCATGAAATTAGGGAACCTATATTGAAACCCAAGAGGAAGAATCATCAGAGACTCCAATGGTTCTTTGGTGCTTTATTTGCTCCTGGTCTTGGTTCATGAAAGGATCACCTATTTCTGATTCCAAGAACCAATGTCTTCACACATCGTCACCTCCTGGACCATCAGCATCTCCCAGCCGCACCGCAGAAACGCCCGTCGCACGACGTCGTTTCGCCGCGGTCCCCGCCGCACCGGACTCGCGGTGCGCCGTACCACAGAGCCAGCGTCTCCCGCGGCCGAAGAGACTCTTTCTTCGAGGACTGCAATGGCACGACCCAGGTGGAAGAAGCCTATTTGACATCTACCCAGACGCGACCCCTGGACCCTCCTAAGTAGGGGGCCGTACCCTCATATGGAGGGGTCCGGACCCTCAAAACCCTGCGGCTTTGAGGGACCAAGGCCTGTTTCGAGCGTCTGGGTAGTTCAACTATATATCCCAGTTGGGTATCCCAGGTGACAGGTCCTAAGTCCTGGTCACCACCTCTCTGGATGGGACCCTGGAACGGCCACCTGAAACCCCCTTGAACGGAGTTCAGGAGTTCGCCGCTGTGCAGACAGACATCCGTGGATCATGTCCATCGGTGTGGTTTGACCGATTTCGTGTTAGGCGGTTCATACATGAACCCATCAACCCTCCCCCAGACATGCATTACAACAACCCCCATCCATCCTTGCGGAGAGCCTCGGGGAAAAACAGAGCCCACCGAATCGGTGCCAGAAACGGTGCCCCCCCTTCGTGTCCGGCCGGCCGTTTCCTCCGAGCCACGTCAATTCTTCCAGGTTGCTCAGGAAAGGCACCGCCTTCCCTGGCGCGACGAGCGCGCGCGCGCGCACGAGCGCCCGGCGCTGTGAGCGAAATCCACCCAAAAAAGGAGAGGTCACCCCGCCTGGGCACCGTGCCGGCCATGGCCAGGTTTTCACTCAAACACCAAGAAGTCGTTGACCAGGAGGTTTGGTATTTATTCGGGTATTTATTCCTGGAGCCTTGAGCAATAGCCCCGGAGCCTTGGGTGATCAACTGTCGGTTCCAAGCTGCTCCAGACCTAGCAGCCCTATCCGATCTGCAGCGATCTGCCCGCAGTTCTGAGCAGCCCAGGCTTGGGGGAACTCCCGGTGCTCGATCCGAGTGACCTGCTCCCCTTGCTTGTTTCATGGGGGAAGGCAACAGCAAAGTAGCACCAGCCACGCCTCCCCCCCCAAAAAAAACATGTCCACTGCCTTTGGCACCCCCCCAGCCATGCGCGTTTTCGCGCCCCACATGGCTTAGCCCAGGCGCCGAAGCTCATGCAGCCACCAGATCTGGGCATGATCTTCTGGTTGAAGTGATACCCGAACTTCAGCCTCCTCAGCCCTTCCGGGAGCCTCGCCCTCAGCGGTCCCCACGTTCTCGTCCCAAACCGGTCCGAAACCGGCGGACCGGCGGGAGGAGGTGTCCCGCAGACCGGTGCAGGGGGTCTTCGGGGAGGCCAAAACGGTCGATGCTCGGATGCTGGGAGGGCCTTGGAAGGTCCTCGGTGAATTACATTCCCTACCAGGAACAATGCATGTACAATGGACTACCATAAGATGTCCAAACAGGATGGTGACAGGATGGGTCCAAGTACTGAAGTCTCCAGAATCCGATGTCTCCAGAGAGGTTGCCCTTGTTCGCACATGCCATGTGTACCACAGACCAGGGTCCTAGCTAAGGTCTCTCAACCTCTCTTCGCTTGGATGGCCACTTGTGGACCATGCCCGTGTGTTTCTGTCTTTCTGTCGCGCGGCGAGAGGAAGAACCACCACCTCCCACCTCCCCCTCTGTCCGCGGCCACCCACGAGAGAAGCGCCTCCCCACAGGTCCACGGTCCACGAGCCCAGGCACGCATTCAAAGTCTGGTTAAAGTTGTTCCCAAAGATCAGAGATACGAGACTCCCTGGCCGCCGCCGCAGACGTCCGACGCCGCGCAGACACGAGGAATCGGACGCAGGTCACACCGAAGGTCGCACCGGTCACCACCGAATTTTCACCGGAGTCCCCAAAAACGATCACTTTTCCGAATTTTTAGATGCCCAAGCTGTGCCCATCAATTACTATCAGTGGATGATGAAACCATCCCAGGTCGCTCTGTGGATCTCTTGGTCGCTCTGTGGATCTCTTGGTCGCTCTGTGGATCTCTGACCCGACTCGACCCGTGGCGTTCGTTTGGGTGAAGACCCGGGTGCAGTGCTTCTTGTTTCTCGCTGATCCCCAAAAGCGGTTGGTGACTGTAGGAAATCAAGGATCGGCATCCAGGACATCGCCAGCAAAGAACAGCGGTTCCTGACTTGGGAGACCACGTTCCACTACAGGAACCGCCTTTTGGATGGACGAGTTCTGCCGGCGTTGGTGCTTTTCCACACCCAGATCGTTTTCAAAAAGAGACTCTTCGGCAACCTCACCCACCTTTGAGAGGTTCAAGTTGACCAAGAATTGTTTCACCCCATTCAGTAACCTCACCCGTTCCACGTAGCTTAAACCACTTCCATGTTCCTCCAAGAACTAACCGCTCCTTCACCTGGAAGAACACCTTTTCGTCAGGACTCCCTCCCCCCACCTGGCAGCTTGGACTCCTGTAGTGGCTGGTCAAACTCCAGCCCGAAGGTCCTCAGAACACACGGCGGATGCGGGAGAAAGGGAGAAGCGGAACAACTGAGCCACTTCTTCAGTGCATTGGTTCCATTGGATGAACCTGATTGACCCTGTTTTGATGCCAACTCATGGTATTTTCCTATCAACACAACTTGTCCAATGGGTGCTAGATTCTAGGTATATGCATATATATATATATATACATAAATAACATGATTGCACAAGCAAACCCCCACCCTTCCAACCCTAACAAAAGGAAGCGCACAGCTTTGTTTCTCTCAGAGTGGTGGAAGAAGGGCATGATTGGTTTCAACTGAGCTCAAGGACTACGCACGTCCCTCACACCTCGCACGCGCCTGTTTGCGTAGATTTCCCATTGCCCACTCCCGGGCCTACCAGGCACGTGCAGGGGCCGGGACTCCACACACTGGCGTCCTAGGTGCTCCTATGCACTGCTGGTTTGACTCAATCATGCAATCGATGCCTGTCCGGCGAGACTGTATAACTAGTGAGAAGGGTCAATTGGGAGTACAACGGAGAAAAGGTGTGGGGGGGGTGGGTTTTCGAAATCACCCCCCTGTCCTTGGCCTTGAGCCAAAATGGACAGGAGGGGCCAATGACACTCAAACCTCACCTCACAACCTCACCTCCAAGCTTATGCACCAGGTATTACACATAAATGAGATTTATTTCGCAATAACATGATTGCACAAGCAAACCCCCACCCTTCCAACCCTAACAAAAGGAAGCGCACAGCTATGTTTCTCTCAGAGTGGTGGAAGAAGGGCATGATTGGTTTCAACTGAGCTCAAGGACTACGCCGACTACGCACGTCCCTCACACCTCGCACGCGCCTGTTTGCGTAGATTCCCATTGCCCACTCCCGGGCTACCAGGCACGTGCAGGGGCCGGGACTCCACACACTGGCGTGTCCTAGCTGCTCCTATGCACTGCTGGTTTAACTCAATCATGCAATCGATGCCACTTTTCCTTTCTTCCACCTGCACGCCTTACTGTACTATAGTAAATCACACGGCTTACTGGGCTTCTGCCGCCATTCAGCCAAAGCACTTGTCACAGAGGGTGAACTTGTTCAGTTCGCTCTGACCTACGTATTCGACGTTTCTGGAGGAAGAGATCCACTTCCAGCCGCACTTGGTTGCCCATTTCGATGGCATCTCCCAAAACAGGCATGCTTGTGTGGAGTGAACCTTGTTCGAGGTGTTGTTGCGGATGTAGTCAGGGCGGATGTTTCCCCACATCCTCTTCACCTCTTCGTTCAAGTCAGCAATGTTGCTGTCAGTCTTCTCCTTCACCTGAGTCTTGAGGTCGTCCTGCCAGGTCCTTTCGAAACGAGTTGAGGGCAGCTTGCACTTGTCTATGATCGGTGAGGATGGTTGCCATGTCTGGTGACTCTTCCATGGCGTCTTCAATGTACGCCTCGATGGCATTGCTGCTATGTCGGGCCATTTTCATAATGACGTCCTTTGGGGTGTTTGCCCGTGCCAGTCGCTTGACTCCCGACCTTCTCATGAAGTGCCCAGTGAGCTTCGAAGGGTCCACTGCAGCAGCCTCCTCTACCAACTGCACCAATCTTTCGGCGTCCTGTTGTGCCGCCGCCACCACATCCACCTTCGTAGTGAAAGCAAACGGAGTGTCTCGCCTTCCGACCAATGGAGTGGAGAATGCCGCCGAAGAAGATCTATCCGAATCCACCTTCGTGCGTGCCTTTTGCCTCTCGACAAGTTCAACGGCGACCTCAAAAGGACAGAGCAAGCCATGGAATTTGGCGTCGTCGTCAGAGCCGCAGCACCTAAGGGTTCGTCTGTCGTCCGGCATGCAAAACTTCGGCAAACAACTCGAAAAGTTTCTCGGTCTTGTCGGGGGTTAAAGTCACCTTTAGGGCTTTTAGGGCGTTTAAAAGGCCCCCTTCTAACTGGAGTGCCACCCCGATCCATTCGACCTGGGTGCCTAGCTGGCTGGGCCTTTCGCCAAGCAAGAGAGGCCCCCAAAAAAAAACCACAAAAGCGCAAACACAATGGTGCGGGGTCGAAAAGATGGCCCAAGAGCCATAAGGAGGGGATCGTCAACGTAACACTGGGATCTTCCTCTCGAGAGACCATGGTGGATTGGCCCAACCGGAGAAAGGCTGCGGCCAACCTCCCCCAGACCAGCGGTCCACAGCACAATCCGAAACAGACCGAAAGGAGGATGTAGTATCTGCCATCATTCCCTTTCACCACGGTGTGCGACTGTTCAGAAGGGTGCAACTTCAGGGTATAAAATGCATCAGAAAAGTCAATGATATAAAATTCGTCGGCGTCGTCGGCTCCGGCATGTTTCAAAAGCTCTCCTAAACACGAAGCCACGTCCGACACCCTGGGGAGTACGACGCGTTCGAACACATGCATCTGACCGTTGACACCTGATCTTCTGTCATGTCGACTATGATCCTAACCTTCTCGACCTTTCCCTGCTTCATTTTGACGACGCAAGCCATCTTGGTCAGCGAGGCTTTGCCTACTGCTGCCTCCACATCGTGCCATGTGTCTTTCCGAAGTGCCCAACCCATGTCCACCATGCGATCTAACTCTGCCTGAGCCTTGTCTCCAGCTTCGGCAAAGGACGCAACAGTTCTGAGCTGTGCCATCCCAGTCATCCATCATCGCAAAGGCTTGTGATGCCTTCGCTGCAGCTGTAAGCCCATCAGTGCGAGGGAACACTCCTGTGTAGGTGATCTCTCTGTTGATTCCAATGGGGAAGCCGTCAACTAGCCATTCTAACAGTACCGTCGCATCAGGGTCTTTCGCCTGCTCAAGCATTGCCCTCAGCTGGTAGCCCTCGTGCACTGTCTCAGCCTTAAAGTGCTGGGCCAAACTGTAGCGGGCTTCCCCAATCAGGCTCTCGGGGAAAGGACATTCATCAACTGAATTCTCGAAGCAGCTGAGTACCTCATCTGTGAGAAACACATCCAGCACCTCTCGTGCCTGCTGTCCCACACGCTGTAGGTCCTTCGACCTGGCCACTGCTCGTCGTGGATCGCGCAAGCCACCCAACACCTCCACGTTCTCCCGTTCTCTTCTTTGCGAGGCCGTCTCTGTGTTGCCAGGTTCTGAAGGCCTCTTGCTTGTTCTCTCTGCCCCTTCCTGCTGCCAGACACGGTCGAGGGAAACCAGCTTGTTGCCACTTGATCCAACATGTACTAGTGTCCTGGACGCTAAACCACAACTGCCCTTCGCTCGAAACGATCCAGCTCCGCAAGGCATCCGCCCAGGCCCAACAAAGTCCTGCAGGGTATTCGGCAGCGTGGCTGTCCTCCACACCCATTGTTCGTCCATTGTGTCCCCAAACAAAACCCGTCAATCCACCTTCTCGATGACGATGTGGTCGTACCTGTTCGCACGTCAGGCAGACCTGCTTCATCCACGGTGCTGTTGCCATGATGCCCGTGGGTTTTGACTGTCTCCGCACCGTAGGGGCACTGGTCGAGGCACACCAGTTCGGTGTGCATGTATTTCCTCAGCTGCTCCATGACTTTGATCATCCATGCAAGCGAATTCTTGGGGTTCTCTATGCTGAAGAATTTGCCTCGATCGGTCTAAGACCAATGCAGCCTTGACCTTCTTTGCAGGTGTTGTGGAAGGGGTTGCACCTGATAATGCTCCAGGTGATGTAGGGCTGCCCAAATCTGCGAGTGGGTCTATGTCCTCCATTCCAAAAGCTTGTCGTGCCACCCTCCAAACTAACGCCAACTGAATGGCCTCCACCACCGAAAGCTCTCTCGGGTCGCCCCCAGACGTGGAGGCTATTCGCACCAAAGACAAGGTTTCTCTGCAGGCACTGGGGGCGATGTTCGCCAAAACACGCGAAGGCTTGGAGCTTGCCCGACTGCTGTTTGCCAGGCATTCCACGATGGCTCGCGAACACCGGCCCATCTCTTGGCTTCCTCAAGATTTGTGATGCCGGCGAGCTCGGCTTGAGTGGGGAGCACCGAACTTGTCATCAAAGGCCGCAAAGGCCCTCAAGGTCGCCGGACTGGGACAGACCTCAAAGGCGGTGACGCCTCGTCCCACCCACCAGGCACGGCCTAGCCAGCCGCACAGGAAGCCCGCAAGCCAGCGGATCAGGATGAAAAGCACGAAGTCGTCCATTCGACGGGTCACAACATGCCCCTCCTGTCCTCGGCCTTGAGCCAAAATGGCTTGAGCCAAAATGGCTAGATTCTAGGTATATGCATATATATATATATATGTATATACATAATTATATATATATATATATGACATACAAAGCAGTGGCTCAGAGTCCAAGGCTCCGGGTTTTGGCCGTGAACTGGATAGCCAGAAAGAACCAAGACAAACATGTCAGTCGGTCAGGGACAGTCAGGGTCTTTGTCCAAGATTCACCCGCACCGCCCAGTTTTCGGGCCGTGCCACCACCAGACTCAGAAGCCTTTTCTTTCGACCAAAGGATTCAGACTGTTGAATTACACTCCACGTGATTCCTTAGCCTCACAGCTGGGCCTAACAGCTAGGCCTAACGGCGCTACGGCCTCTCGCCCCCCCGTCATCCCATCTCTGACGGGTCGTTGATAACATAGCGGATGGCTGATGGCTGTCGATGTGTATCGCAATGATCTGCATATCATAATGCGTCATTTTGCCATGTGATTGTTTCAGTTTAGATCATATCAGTTCTTTCTATGTCCTTGTTGTGCTCATCAGCACACCCCAGGGGCAAAGTTGCTTGTTGGTTTCCAAGAGATGAAGGTGTTGTACCTCCATCCTCCTGAATCACCGGGGGGAGGGGTTCTCGTGTCTTTTTTCAGGTGTTGGTGCTCTGTTCCTGCGCGAGTTCGAAAAAAAAAAAGTAATCCGAAGCAACACCCCACTTTGGCCCCACCGGACATAGGTTTCATTCTGGAGGTACAACTTACTCCCCCACAAACTAACATAGAACCTGAGAATGGACCATACTGGAAGATGATTTTCCTCTACAGCCCAGTAGTTGGGGGGGGTTCCATGTGCTCTGCGAGCGGAGTATCTCCAATTCCTGGGGGCGTTGTCTTCAAGGGTTCGGGGGCTCCACGATCTCCACCATCTCCCTCACTTCACCAGGCGCCACCAGGCCGAGAGTCAAGTATTGCAAGCTGCTCGGAAGGGACACCTCAGCCGTGCTTCGGTAAGCCAAGGGTTCTTTCCTAAGAAAGCCCACAAAACGTGTGGTTGATTGCTCCTTGAGGGCCCAGCACCACCAGTGCTCGCTGGACCGCAACGCCACGCCAAGGCACATTGTCCAAGCTCTGATTGAAGTTGTCTCCAAATACCAAGCCTTGGCCGGGACGGGGGTCTTTGCGATCTCTTTGCGGCCTCTTTTGCGGGGGTGCCAGCCCACACAAACAGGCTGCCGAAACAATGGTTCGACGAACATAAAGACTTGTTTCATGAAAAAGGAAGTCCATAGTCCGGAGTCCGGTTGGGTGAAAATGTCCTTCAAAATAGAAGTGATAGAACACACAAGAAGGGGAGACGATCCGCAACTAAACGAATCACAAGGTCTTTGTGCCAGCCAATCTCAAGGCGACTGCCTCTCGAGGTCGGACCCAGACACGACTAATGGGACTGCCATAGGACTGCCACTCAGGTCAGGGGTGGTGCCAGGGGGGTCAATGGGGCGGCAGTCCGAACTGGCAGTCCCATTAGTCGTGTCTGGGGGATGTGTGGTTTGTCTGTTGATTAATCCGCGCGGTGAACAAGTGCAAGATGAAACACCTATCTTGGTGGAGCCCCATTCATTGGAAGTAACACAGGGCTTCAACTGATCATCGTTTTCCTGTGATCTTCACCGAGTTCACGAGCTGTTAAGCGGCCAATGTCCACTTCCAGGATGATTTTTTGGAGTGCGTGATAGACTAAGGGTTGGTCCGAGTGTTGCAGGTTCCAATTCAAAGTTACTTGCCCCCCCTACAGCTTCAAGACCTGCTGGCTCGTGGCAAGACTCAAACCAGCGCGACATAGTTCGGGGTGGCAAACCAGCGCAACATCACGCTTGCTTGCACGAATTTCAGGTTAAGCGGATGAAGGCACTTCGACCAGAAAACAATACACTTGAAACTCCAAACTTAGTTTGTGCATACCTAGGCCCCCTAAGGCTTTCAGGGGTGTCTCTATAAACAGCTCCTTAGAGGTTATATAAGGGGTGTCCATTCACCACCCCAAAGTTGCCCGGGGGCGCTGGTTATATGTTGCTCATGGGTTCAATTGGTTTTCTGGTTTTCATATGTTTTCATCATACGGGCCCTCGGAGAACCTCCAGGCCCCAGTGGCTCTCGAGCATCTTTGGAAGATCCACCTCCTCGAGAGAGCGCACGGGGCAAACCATCGAACCACAACCGAAGTTCTCCCTCGAAGCTAGGCCTATACCTGTTCTCCTTCCGAAACTGGTGTGTCTAGCCGGTCTTCTCCGCAAACAAAGAGGTGTGTGTGGGTGGATGTGTGGGGGTGTGATTCACAAAACCTTCGGAGCTTTGGGGGAGCAGTCGGCGCATCCCCCTGGCTCTTCTGCCCAAGCAGTTTCCGGAGCCGAACCAGTTTCGGGGTGCGGCTTCCAGCCTGGCTCGTCGAGATTCTGAGGCACTCACTTCGGTCGAAGTCTCTGGTTCGACACTCTTGGGGTTAAAATGTCAACAACTCGACCTCCCTAGGCCTAGATTGACCCCGCCAAAACATCGTCTTTCCTTATCAAAACAAAGGTCCAATTCAATGGGTTCTACGTCCCCATAGCTGACCCGGTCATTTCTTCTTTCGCGCGCGGACGAAAGAAGCGCCCGCCAAAAAAAAGAAACACACCTTGGTCAAAGCCTCCCGGCCCCGCGGTAGCACCAAACACCGAGGCTCTTCCAGGCTTTGGTTGAACTCCCGACCAAAGGTCAGGTGTCGCAGACTCTCGGGGAACACCATGCCGTCCTGACTGACTGCGAGAGAGCGCCGCGTCTCCCGCGTCTGGGAGTGGCGCCAAGTGCGGAGGGCGCGGAGGGCTCGTCAGAACTCCTGAAGGACATCAAAACATCACATGAACCAGGAGTTCCTTGTCTTGCGGAGAAGGGGCACCCCTACACTTCAAGAAGTCAATCAAACAGGCGCCTCTGGAAAAGAATGGATTCCTGGTTAGCTGTTCCGTGCTGTTTTTCTCTCTCTACTTCAGCTTCCACCCGTTCTCCCCCTCTCCCCTCTGCTGCTCAGCTGCCAGGGCTTGGTCGAAGTCCCGGCCAAACCTCAGGTGAGTCAGGTCCCGGAGGTCCCGGAGATCCCCCCGGAGTCTCACGGAGCCCTGTCCCGGAGAGAGAAGAGAACCACCACCCTTCGGACTCGACCTTTTGGACCTCTAGAAGCCTACGGAAAGACCGTAGCAAGAAGCTGTCTAGTTTAGGTGGAGGCCTAGACAGCTACTAGAGGCTAGTGAACGGAGGACGCTGGGAACACATGCTCAGTGACATGGCAAAAAGCTGGGGAAATTCTGGGATTGACGTGAGGAAAGTGGATGACCAACTCAGTGAGCAACCTCAAGGACTTCCAGTCATCCACTGGCGGCTGGCGGACATGCTTGGCAGGAAGGATGCAAGAAGCACTTTCCGAAGGCTGCCGAAAGCCCGGAGCTCCAAGTTCGTCACTAAGGTTCCACTTGCCCATCCTGGATGTGTTCCATCAAAAAGTCGCTTAGAGGTGGGACTTAGGTGGAAGCTTTAGTTTGGCTTGCCCCAAGTTCCATCCCGGATGTGTTCCATCAAAAAGCTCCCCTCTTTGCTCTGCAGTGATCCACCCGCCCTCCATGACCCAGCCCAGGCACGCCAGGGACACCAGCTTGCTGGGCAGGGCCAAGCGGTCCACGCCATGGTAAAAGACATCCCCAAATTTAAGGGATTCTAACCTCAGAATGCCATCCATCCAAGGATTCCAATCTCAGAAGGCTATCATCTAACTTCAGAAGGCCATCCATCCATGATCCAAGATCCGGCTAGTTTGAAGAGATCCCATTTTTCTTCCCAAACCGCTCAGGTCGCCACCGGTCGAACACCGGTCCTCTACCGAGTGCCCAGCCAGGTGGGTTTCGGGACGTTCCATCTGGTGCCCCCAAGACCGGTTAAGTGACCGTAAATAGGACCCGTCACCTGGGGGTACCTATGGGATAGGCTAGTTCGGGTCCCTTAGAGGGTCCTTCAACCTCTGTTGGCCTCTGGAAAAGAACGCGGGAGCTTGGGCGCTGAGGTAGTGACACGTCTAGACGTGACACGTCTAGACGTGACACCTGGCGTTTCGGTGCTGACACTGGGGGGGGGATGGATTTAGAGGGAGATTGGTTTTTGCAACATTGGAAAAGAACCGGAGCCCCAGAGACCCCAGAGCCTCCAGCGAGGTGATGTAACACAAAGTCATGGTCAATGGCGTCAATGGTGGCAAGTTCATCAAGAGGTGGGTTGTTGGTCAGAACAAGCAAAAGAGGTTCCAGCACCATAAACCTCCCCCCATCTTCAAGTCTATATAAACACACTCTGGTACTACCTTGAGCACGTGTTTTGTTTGTTGAGGCCACTCGGAAAAACCAAGGTGCCTCGCCTGCAGCTCCTCACCCCCCCCCCCTCTCACCGGTCTCCTCACCGGTCTCCACCTCCGCCTCCGCCTCCCTCCGCCCTCCGCTGTGCCACGGCACGTGGGCGGCAAGGTCACGTGCTTGATCAGGTGCCTCGGACCCGGACGAACGTGTCGAAGTTGGAAGGGGCGGCAGGACATGGGTGGTGTTGGCTTTGCCACAGGAGGCCTGGACTGATGGCAATTGGATTGAAAGAGGTCCTTATTCAGCGGTGTTCAGCGGTGTTCAGCGGTGTTCAGTACGGTTCACATCCACACTTGGCAACATGCGCGCCCACAGCCGCAGTGGAAGGCAGCTCATTTCCACACAACATCTCGAACCACACCCTAGAGACCTCAGCGGTGACAGTCTCACCCCCGCAGGACTAGTGACGGGCACCCCGACGTCCTCCGTCCGGAACCGGAACCGGCACCCCGGAGCTACGTGATCTCCTGGCTGTCACGTCATTGACTACTGCACGACAAACATCAATGAATACTCCGAAAGACCACTGCATGACACTGCAACCTCCCCGGGTCTTCATCTTCAAAGCAAATCTGGGACCACCAACCACTGGAAGCATCCGGCACCCCGACCGCGAGTTGTTTCTGATGTTGCTGTACCTTGATGTTCATTCAGAGCCTCCGGCGGATCCACCCGTCTCACAGTCCCGTCGCCGGACGTCGCCGGACGCCGGACGCCGAACGCCGGTCGGGGCGCTTGGCGTACTGCACGTGGACGACGCCGTCCAAGGCGTGGTGGTCGACCTCGCGGACCACCTCACCCTCGAGGATCTTAAAGGCGTGCCACCTGGATCGGCACGATGGCGGTTTAAGCCGACGACGACGGAAGAAGGTCAGGGCGAAGACGGAAGACCCCGGTGACCGGGGGCGCTTCGAGAGGCGCGCGTGAGACGCGACTCCGGAGGAGGATGAAAGGGCACCAGAGACTTGGGAGAGGCTGAGGGATGAGGAGGTACCTCCAAGAATCTGTCAGAAAATGGATGAAAATGGGTGTTTCACGGCGTTTCACCCTCGCGCTGTTTCAAACGCTCCGCTCCCAGCTCCTCCCAGCTCCTCCTTCTCCGGGCTCTGAAAATGGTGTGGAACACCGGTCGGAGGGTCGGACTGAATTGGTTCCAGGCCGCAAATCCGAAGAAGCATAGGAGTAGGAGAGCTGAAGACCTCAGAGGATCCGGAGATCCTCCCAAGATCCGCAGATCGTGTGGATTGGATTGGCAGACCTTGGCAGTCCTTTTTTCGAAGAGAAGAATCCAGAGGTCGATGGTAGTAAACATGACCTAACTGGGTAGTCCATGAAAAAGGGGGTGTCTTGCCTCTAAATGAATATCAACCACCCGGCCATCTGGGGGTCGTCGGTGGGAGAAGCCTCTTTTTCAGAGTCTGCTGAAGCGTCTGTCTGCTGAAAAGCTCTGCTGAAGGGTATGATGAGTGATGGGTTCTATCACAGGAGCCTTTTAATCCTTTTTTTGGGAGGGGAGGTGTCGACTCAGGGCAAGAAGACTTGTGAGGTCCTCTTACTTCTCGTCAGACTGTGGAGGGGGGCCGACCCGACGTCCCCCTTCATAGAATGAAGACTGACTGGATGTCGAAGCCACGGGAGCCTAGGAAGTGTCGAAGAATGAATGCGATTTCAGACCCCCGATCTTGCTGGGTTCAGTCACGCATGAGTTCGAGGTGTTGACAAGCCACCGGCATGTTCTGCGATTATGCTGAGGAGGTACCAAGCGCCCCAACTCGGCACTCAACGAGGTGGTGGCCCTGGGCACACCTACTGGAACCGACCCAAAAAAGGCTCACAGTGCTTCAATAAACTCAGACTAAACTCATGATTGCTGCGGTAATCATGCTTGTTCAAATACTACATATATATATATAGTATATAAGTAGATATATAGTAAGTAGACTCACGGCTCATACGAACTCAGGATCTTGCCAACTGCTCACCTCACATCACTCACTGACTTCTAGAACATCTACCGTGGCGCAGATCGTAGCTGCACACCTCCCAGAATCTTGATCTGCCAAAATCGCTTGGATTCGTGCCTTCATGTATGATTCAGATCTTCTCCCCTCCACGCGCAAAGCATCGGGGAAGACTTTAAAAAAACGCCATGGCACTCGGGGAAGTGCCAAGCCCCTGCTCCTTCAACGTCTGATTCAAGATCACCTCGCGCTTTCGCGCTTTCGCCAAGGATTGAGACTGGTTGAGACTTTCTGGTGAGTGATGTGAGTTCTGTCAAAATCCCTGCATATGCGTGGCTTAACAAGTCAAACAAAAACAAAAATGGGTAAAAGCATGTAAAAGCCATAGGGACAGCTTGCTAACTTGCCAATCTGGCCCTATGCCACTTCTAGAAGCTTGGCTTGCTCAAGCTTGGGTGTGTATTTGAATAGGTAACCCCCCAATCCCCGCAATGGGTAGACTGGTCTACCTTGCTTTTGGTCCATCCAAGCGGTTGGGACTTCGCGGAATGAAAACAGCTGATGCAAACTCTTGATTCTGTTTCAAACCTCCCATATGAAGAGGCTCCATTGTGGAGGCAGCTGTGAGATTTTCTTTGGACCAGTTGGCCAGCTTTAAAGAACTCCTTGTTCAAAACAGCTATCGACATGGGAATTCTTGTGCTTCTGTTTTTCGCCAGATAGCTCCAAGCTATAGGGGTTCTTACTTCTCAATGGTTTGGCTATTTCCCTACATACCCACATGGCTTTGGGTCTATGCCGGTGTTTCTTCTCACCTGGAGACTCGATGTGCTGTCTGTGTAGACTCGATGCGCGCGTCCACAGCGGCGAATCGGATTGGTCCCACGGTTGGACGAGCGGTAGAAGAGGTCTTGCAATCCAAGCAGGGAGGGTTCTTCATCAATCAAGAGCCTATCATAGTCTATGCTAGACTCTTGATTCTTGATGAATAAGCCTACCTAGTTGGATCGTAAAACCTCTTTCATAGTCATTGTCTATTCCTGAACTCGGGTCATCTAGTTAGACCATTTCTTTGAATAGTCTTGGACTGCCCATGGTACATTAGTTCTTCTACCCATGGAACTCATATTTTCAGAAATCCCAAGGAAGAAATCCAAGATCTGACGTTCCATGCAACTCATATCCCAAGAACTCCCCAAGGTGGTAGAACTCCCCAAGGTCGTAGAACTCCCCAAGGTGGTAGATCGACCCATGTGATCCCAAGTTCCCCCGCCCTTCGACCGCTTCGAAGGCCAGTCGTGTGGGTCGTGCACCTCGCCCTTCTGTTCCGCCTTCAAGATGCGGTCCGGGAAGGGGGAAAACCCCAAGCAGTTGCCTGGATCATCTATTCTCACCCTAGTCATCCAAACATCACTGTGGACGTGCAATGCCACCCCCATAGTTCCTGGGGGCGGAATGAAACAATGAAACGTGTTTTACGGGAACCATGACCCTGGTGATTCTACAGTGGATATTTCCACATGGATATCCAAACCATCGAAACCAATCTGGTCACCAAACCTTGCCACACTTGGAATGCTTAGAAGGTGCACGAAGCACCCTGAAATAGAATCGAATTCCCCCTGGACTCCATGGCCACCCTACGACCGGAAACAGCAGCATCGTTCGAGTACCTTTCTCCCCTGAGTCCTTGGGCCACGCCTGGCGATCCTCGGCAGTCCAGAGCTGGACAGTGCAGCGAGGCTTCACTGGAAGACGATCACGCACCATGGTCAGAAGCTCCTTGCCCCGAAGACCGTCCTCAGCCCGTCCGCCTTTTCGTCCCCCGCCGCGTTGCTTTGCCGCCGCGGACCGTTCGTGTTCGAGCGCCGCGTGGGTCCGGCGGGCGCGGGAAGGACGGTGTGGGCAGGGCAGGGCAGCGCGGTCCACGTCTTCTCGTCCTTTCTTGGTTCTCCCCGCGCATGCCGCGCGCGCGAGCGTGTCAACACGGCGTGTTGGGACAGGTCAACACATCGGTTCACATCGGTTCACCTTGCTTGGAGATCCTTTCTTCAGTGCCAGCATCTGGATACCGTGGAACGGAGGAGAGTGGCTGAGGATCTTTTGAGTATGGTCGGTGTTGAGGGAGAAGAGTTCTTTCAAGATGGACTTATTCAGGGATCAGGGGAATGGAAGGTGTAACAGAGAGTCTCATGTGTTCTCGCAGAAGCCACTGTCTGAGTCAGACAAGTGGTCGTTGGCCATCCCATCTTGACAAAGCAAAAATAGACACTTGGGGAACAAAGAAACTTCTTGACAAACCATCCATGCCTTCCACGAATGACTCGGCAGCCTCCCCCAGTTCTTCGAACTGTTCAACTTATTGCTTTCAAAAATACCACGGAACACGGGCCACCTCCCCAGCCGCCATGGCCAACCACCCCAAACCGCCCACCCCCCGATCCCGCGGGAGGTCTTCCCCCCCCGATCCCGAGCGTCGTGCAGGGACAAGGTGAACTGCTCCTCGGCGCCCGTGATCTGCACGTCCAGCATGCCATCCTCGGGGCGCCGCAGCACGCGGAGATCGACTGGGCTGGTTGGCCAAGAGGATCCGTCGGCTGGTGACGGTGGGTCCGGTCGGAGTGGCGTCCAAAGACTGCCGATTGCTCGGAGGTGGAGCCTTGGGGAGAACAAAGACCGAAGACGAAGCATGCGGAGGAGCTGCGGAGGACATGGGTTGTGGAAGAGTTTGAGGAAGCTTGCTCCTCAACCATGATCGAGGAATTACAGAATTCCTTGTAAAACTCTAGTATCATCCAACAAAGTCCATCATGCCCCCTGCTGACAAAAAAGAAATGAAAAACTGAGAACGCGGAAACGAAAGCCAGTACAAGTGTAGAGCGTCCCCCTACATAGGGGAGGGTCTCCGATGTTCTTATAGGAGTTAGCGGAGGCTGCACTTGCTCTGTTGCCACTCTCACCTGTCGCTGCAGCATTCAATACACATAAACTAAATGGTGCGTTCGTTCCTTCCTTCCTTCCTTCCTTCCTTCATGAACCTGATTGATGGCCCTCCAGCTTTCATTCAAGACACTGAACTAAACAGTGCCCTTAGAGAAAGTTGCTGATGCAAATGATGCACTAACCCGTGCACCTTGCATCGTCTGCATCACCCACACACCAAAAATACTTTTTTTGCGACCAGTAGACACCACCAGGCCAACGTGGTTTACATGCACTCTATATATACCAGGCCTGCCCCCAGACCCCTAAATACTATTACCAGTAAATACTCACTTCGTTCACAGAACATATCTTCAGCCTGGCCTATGGGCCCTTTCGTGACTAATGCACCAAAAGGTGACAATCCTCTTTCAAACCACAAACCACCTGGCAAAGCCATGCTCGTCCACCCAATCCTCCACTGACTCCACTGACCCCATCCAAGCATCTCCCTCAGAGGTGGACGACGGCAGCGCCGGCATGAGAGCGCGCTCAAAAGCGCTGACTGAAAATGTGTCGGGTGAAACGAGGAGCGTTGGACTGGTGGGCGGGATGACGGGATTGGATCTCACCTGGGGAGACATCAGGAGGAAGGTAGAAGGGATGTAGATGGGCTTGGCTCTTGGAAGATTAAACATGGATGGTCATGCATTAAATGGAGATAGCCTCCGCTGGGTGCAAGGTAACAGTAGGTTGATGTCTGAAAGTCTCTGAGAGGCACTTGGATGCAAGTCTATAACTCGACTCTATCTGATGATGATGGTTCACAATCGTACCCGCAACATACATACATATTATATATATATATATATTATATATATATATAGTAATATATGAGATTCTACAACAAATCCCTCATCGTCTTGTTCGGAACTCCCCTTCCCCCATGTTCAGGGGGGTCTTTGAGCCCAGAACCACATTGTGTCTTGGATTCACGACTGCCCCAGGTTGCAGGGACCCAGCTGAGAAGAAGAATCGCAGCTTGGAAAACCACACGGTTTATCTGGATGCCTCTTGCAGTCCCATCACACGGCCCAGAAAGATCATCTACAATCTATACTGTATATAAGAGCTGGAACACATGCTTGAATTGGCTTCCATGATGGCTTTTGGTCCTCTAAGAAGACTCACAAGTATCCCAAACTTGGTGGTCATCTCCGTTTGTTGAGGGTGACCTCAGCCTGAGTTCCCTCTCTGGCTCAAGGATTGTCATTGCACAGGCTTGAAAAGAAGCGTTGTTCTCCATTAATCAATCCTGCTGTGTCAAAGAGGGAATTAGAGTGAAGCCAGTGGCCTGCCAGTCAAATCCGAAAAACAAAAAACAAAAAAAACTTCGAAGTAGGGTGGGGTGTCTCGCGTGGAAGTGAGTTCACCACCTGTTTGGCATTCGGATTTTATGGTCCTCCATGTGGGGGAGGGTCATTTTCCCGCGCATGCCACGGAAACCATGATGAGTTCGGGGAGCGTCACCCTGTAACCCCACGTGCTTTTCTTCAAAGGTCCCTTCCCGAAACCTTGGGCCGAACCCAAGACAGCCTGTTGAACACGCTTCCATGCAACATCGCGGACCCTTTGCCCTGCACTCCACAAGGTCATAGCCTCGTAAAGAGGTATGACTCACCTCGTAGGTGTCCCAAAACACCCAGCTGTTTTGGTTCAGGTCCTTTTCCACACCGGCCAGTTTGGTCTCATGTTTTGGAACCCGCCACCCTCACCACCCTCAGTCGTTCGACCTCCTTCCACCAAACCCCGAGAACGGGGTCTACCTCTCTCTCCCCCGGCACCTTCAAGGAGGCTTTCTGGCTCGTCTGGCCGAGGGTGGAGGATTTCAAGAGAAAACATCCTCCGGTCGTTCTTCCATCTGGAAAGAAGAAGAGAGGCATTTTTCTACAGACTTCGATAGGGGATTCATAGGGAAGTTCTCCCTTCATTTAGGGAACCATTGCTCATTCACGCAGGAATGATATGGTGACTAGCACCCAAATATTGAGACACCGAGGCGGTATAATGATCAACCATGTACTGAATCCCCAAAAATGCAGAAGCAAACGGTCAGAACCAACGATTTGATTGCTTGTCCTTCCCTGAACTTTTGTGCTGGTGCTTGTGCTCCCGCGCGTGAAGTCAATGTAACACAAAACCAGCAAGGTCTTGATGACCAACTACGCAATCCGTGAACCTCCAACATCCAACAAGCAAGAGAGTCTATGGAAATGATCATGTACATCCAACACCCAATCATCCCCGCTTGGTTTCTCGGCTTCATCATGGCCGAGCTCGTTAAAACATCCTTCGTCGGTCTGGTGTCGACATCTCGGGTCACGTCGCCTGTTCCTTCTCGTCCTCACCCAGCTGGTCCAAGGTCTTCTCCAGCTGGGTGCCCTCGGGCGCCTCGTGCCGAGCGGTCCGCGTTCACGGACGCGTGCTGACCCGCGTAGAACGCGCGGGGGTTGGGTGAGGGGGGTTCGCGAAAACGCGGCCAACAAATGCCAAGACCGTCCAGAAACAGTCACTGGACTGGGAAAGAAGGGACACCGTCGCTTCGTACTGTCTTGATCTGCTTTTTGCAGAGATTGATCCATCCAAGGACTCACACACTTGCGGAGTCGTCACACCTCGACCGAAAGAAGGGACCCTGGACCGCCACACGGAGGTTGCAGAGTTGTAGGCCTGGAATGTTAGCAAATCTCTGAGAGGTTCCTGTCTCATTAACCTGGAGCTTCGCATCCTTTTTGGTGGAACGGCCAATGTTGTTGACCACCAATTGCATCGGGTGTCCCCAGAAAAGGGGTTGACCCTTAAGGAGAACGACCCAAAAAAAATCGACCTCCTGTTCCTATCTGTTTCTTCTGCAGGGTTCCACATGAGGAGAAACAAGAAAAGCAAGAACCGTGCGAAGCGTGTCCTCTCAGCCCGGGGTCTTCCACCCCCCCAACCCGAACCACGCAACGCCCCGGCTCGCTTGGGCGGGCTCCCTGGAGTGCGTGCCTCGAGCGTCATCTTGGCCGCAAGCTTTTCGAGCTCCTCCGACATCGTCTGCCGCCTGTGGGTCCGGCTGAGGAGTGCTGGGCAGTGACGGTGCCTTTGCGAGGGTGTGGGGTGAAAAATGCTAATTTGTCTGATTAAGGATAAAGTTCAAAGGTCAACAACCACCCTACTGTGAGGCTTCGTGTAGACTCATGTACCTTCAAATCAAGTGTGATCTCCTTGCTGCCATTGAACGCACGGTGGCTTCCGAGCTGTTTCTCCACTCCGAATACCAAACAGGGGACTCCCCTTCACCGCCCTTCCGCTCAACCTGCAAGCGTCACGGTATTTCACCATGGCTGCTGGTTAAGTAGCTTGTATTTCACCTGGTGCGAACCAGTGAGGGCTCCTTTTCCTATACATCTGGGGTTCTCGAGTATGAATTCCTCCTCCTTATTGAAGGGACTTCGAGTCTTTGCAGCCTTCCACACCCGCGGCGTTCCGCGGGTGTTCGCAGGGTGTGGAAGACAACAACCTGCCTCCAGAGAAAAGGAGCTGCCAAACAGATTGTTCAGAGAGGACTCTGTTTCCAAGTCAAAGATCAAAATGTAGAAGTTTGCCTCTTCAGTTTCAAAGTGCACTTGTCGCAACATCTATCGCAGCTAACCCCTACGGTTCGTCGCCGTCGCCGGGTGAACCCCTGCGGTTGACCCAGCACCCTGGAATTGACTAACGTCGAAGTTCTTGCCAGGTCGCTGGGTCGAGCACTCTTCGATCTTGCCTCAGCCGTACCCCCTGCCCTGTCGTGGGGGCGTCTGACATTGTCATGTTCAAGCGGTCAAGATTCATGGTGAGATGGACCTCCAGCAAATGGACCAATATGGACCTATTCTTAACAAATTTTTGAGTGTCCCTTTCTATCTTGCGGAGCAGTCCCTGCCATGGCGCCCCTTAAGCTTCTGGAGGTGGACTAGCTATGTGACCACCAAGTCCCCCCAAATGCCACCAACTAAATGACCAGTAACAATAGTAGTAGAATTAGAGTTGCAGCACCACTCAGTCCAACACGGGCCAAAGAGCTGCTTGTGTTTTTTTTTGCAGGAAAAGGTTGATCATCAACCCTCTACAGTTTCTACAGTTTCTACAGCCTTCGGTCGTCACAACCAAACACCGAGACCAACTTCTTCACAGGACCCTTCGATCCGCTTCTTCGAGTCATGTCCGAGTCATGTCGTCTTTGGGTCTCCGAGAAACAATGGCCTGGACCCTTGGTCTGACACCACCGATGGCGTTACAAAACGGTTTTTTCCCCTTCGGTGTCTTCCATTGACCTCAAGAAACCACACGTCAAGGGTGTGGGGGGTCAAACCGTTGATGGTGTGCCTCTCACGGTGTCTCTTTCATTGATGGCTCCTTCTTCCAACCACCTGAGTCCATCGACTCCGCGGTCGCGATCGCCCTCGCCGGGCTCGCGGACGATCAAGCTCTGCCAGCTCCTCCTCCTGCTTCTTCTGCTCCTGGCGATCGTGGCGATCGCTCGTCGCGGATCCCATGTCGATGCCGTGACGGCTCTGCTCGTCTCACCACACTGGACCAGGGCCCAAATGCATCCAAAAGGAAGAAAAGCAAGAAAGTCTCTCCACAAAAAAGAAAGGAGAAACAAACACGCGGCACCTGTTGCCTGTTGATTTACAAAAAAAATGCTGCTTCACCCCCAGTGTGGAGAGGTGAAATTGTTCTGGTATGTTCTGGTGTGGTGTGTTTTCACTTAATCCAATTCATCAACAGTCACCATTCAATTCATTCATGCAAAGGAAAATGGTTCAAAAACATCAATTTGATCCACATTCTCGGACCGCACGGGTTTCAAAGTAAGCACGGGTTTCCGCGCTCCTCCTGGAGGAGCGACTTAGAAGATCGGCTCTCTTCTTCGAGGGTTTCCACCTGGCTGGTGGAAACAAAAAGCGTCCCATGTTAGGAAGGAAGGAAGTGAGGAAGAGGAAGCCGAAGGAAATCGGAGGAAACCGGAGGAAACCGGAGGACACCGGAGGAAGGAAGAGGAAGGGAGAGGATGGAAGAGGATGGAAGAGGAAGGAAGAGGAAGGAAGGGAGGGCGATTAATCAACCCTAGTTTGACCACCAGTTGGGTGATGCGGAACAGAATCCGTCTGCTGCATCTGCTGTTGCTTTCGGCCGCAAGCAGACTCGAGGTGCTGGGACCTCTTCCAAAAGATGTGCTTGATGTCCTAGGGGTCCAAAGACTCTTTGGCACAACGCCTCAGGCATAAGTAAAGGAAATGCCTGAATCAGGCGTTTTTTGCATAATTCTGCGATTGATTGCGCGGATTTTGGGAATCCCACTAGGTCACTAGGTCCAAAACGCTCAGATGTGACGTCTCTCATTCTGCAGCGTCCGTCGCATAGATGTGACCGTCACCCGCACCCCAAACGAAGCCATCCAAACGAACGAGAACGTTCGTTTCAAGGGGTGTTCATTGATCCAATCCCTCTCGAACGTTGTGCAGACACGGCAAAAACCACAGGGTGTCCTATCACCATATGCTTCCAGCGGGAGTC